GAGGAACCAGCGAATCTGACCCCGGGGTTTTAGAGCAGAAATCTAAACTCATTCAGGAAATCCCTGCAGCGCCGGCGCCTGGCTTTCCTTGAGCTCCACTTCTACTCCGATCAGCTTGCCCACCAGGCTGGACACCGGCACGGACCGTGGCACGAGAGGATAAGCACAGCAGTGCAGCGCCACCCAGAGCGGGCGCTCAGAGTCGCTCTCCCCAGGGTCTGTCTCGGCTGAGCTGGAGCTGCCGGCCCGTGCCCTCCGGGTGAAGACCCGTCTGCAGAGCCGCCTTTCTGGGCGGGGCCCACAGCGGCAGCCTAGGAGCGCCTCTCTTGCTTTAGCTTTCTGAGATTGGGCAATCCTCAGTGAGAGCCCGCCTGCCACCACCCGGTTCCCAGCATTTAGACGGGGCCAGGTGCCGCGCCAGCTCCCTAGCCAAGGCCGTCCCAGAGAAATCCTCGGTGGGAACACAGGAGAACGTGTGCCCTGGGAACAGCACAGGCCGCCCTCGGGCGTCTGCTCATGCTTCCGGCGCATCCAGGTTTTTTCAGTTGTTTTAACGTATTTTTGTTTTTAGAACAGAACTGCACTGCCTCCCTGAGAGGGCATCAGGAAGTGGCCAGTGGCCCAGGCACTCAGGCAAACTGGTTTGTGTGAAAGCAGCAGAACTAAGGAATCTCTAGTTTCTGTGCCTGAAAAGACCTGAAATGTCACCAGAGGATCTTATTTTGGAAGTCACACAAACAAGCAGACCCAGTGATTTTCTTTCTGCTCCGTGGCCACAGGAACTCGTCACACCCCTCGGAGCTCTGCGCAGTCACTTGGCTGTCACTTGTCCAGCAATAACTACATTCGTTCCAATGAATGCTGTTTCCATTTTTCTTTTTATGGTTGTTAGTCTTGCCCTGAAGTGCTGATTATTACTCTTTCCAAAGCCACGCTCTGGAGTGTGAAGCCGGTTTGGCATGCGGAACGTATGTAAGCCTCGGTGGGACTTGTGGGCATAAGGAATGCCTGAGGCTGCTGCCATTTAAGGGCTGGTGTCTGGGCCTGAGCACGTCCCACATGCGGGACCAAACCCCAGGCAGGCTGGTCGTAGCCAGGGCCAAGGTGAGCAGTCAGCACGGCCGTGGCCTCCAAAGTCCCTATGCAGGCTCCACGGGTGTCCGCATTGGAGAGGCCAAGGCTGCGGGTCCCGGGAGGGCCTTCCTGCACGGGCACTGCTGCCTCTGGCTCTGGAGGCCCAGGCGTAGCAACCTTCTGCAGCCCAGCTCTCCATGTGGAAGGGAGAATTCAAAGGAGACAGAAACGGATGGGGCAGGTCCCGAACTTGGTGACCTGAGGCTAATCACCCTGACCTGGTCTCCTGTGGTGTTGGGATGTGGTGAGACAGGCGCTGCCAGCTTGGTAGAAACCCTTTCTCCTCATTTGCTCTGCCTGCATTCCCAGAGAAGGCCCCACGCTCCGTACACCCAGACCCAAGTAGGAGTCACAGTGACGAGGGAAGTCACAGGACAAAGAGGTCCCCACTGCAGGCTCAGACTCACTGACGGACGCCCTGCCTGGAAGACAGACAAGCAGATGGTGCCACTCACTGCTTACCCTCGCCACGCCATCCTCCCACCTCAGACTGACGCATGGTGGAGTGGGGACAGACGGGCAGGTGTCACACCCTCATGGCAGTTGCCACCAGCTTTACCCCCTTGCTCCCATCAGGAAGATAAGTTGTAAATAAACACTGGACTCCTCATAGCTTCTCTCTATACACCACCCTTGCTATTCTGGTCTCTTTAATTTGCATAGAACAAGCCTAAGTTTTCCCTTCAGACACAACTGCTGCTCTCTCCTGGCAGGGCCCGCCTGGCCCAACATCCCTGCATCCCGCCCTGCCTCTGCTTCCAGCCAGTAGGTGGCGCTGCCGAGCCAGGCCCTGCTCTCCTGGCCCTCATGACGCTGGTGACTCCCTCGGCTCCTGGTCCCCAGTCGGTGCCAGCAGTATCTGAGAGAACAGATTTCCATGAAGACCAACACCCCTTTGACTGCCTGGAATGAGATAACACTGGCAGGAATAAAGGTGTTGTGGAAACATGTGCCTAATCTATAAAGAAATTTCTGCTCCAAATCATGTATAATGAACAGACACTGTTCCTAACGAGGAGTGACTTATTTTCATCATCGTTTTTAATTTGTTTTCTTACGGGTTTACGATTTTGAATTTTTCCTATTTGGTTGAAAGAATTTTGATTATATGAGCTGCGTTCAGCCTGTAAAAAGGATGTTAAGTTGTGGTTAAATATGCAAATGAAAAGAAATATATTGTACAAATTCTATATAAAAAAGTAAAGTGTGTGGGCCTTTTTTCTCTTTCCCCTCCTTCTGCCCCTCTTGTGAACATTATCCATAGTTTCTACCAAGCCCCAACTGATGGAATTTCTGGAATCTCAAGGCCTGGGGTTGAAAGGAATCAGAAAGTTCTAGGCCAGCGGTTCTCAACCTGTGGGTCACGACCCCTTTGGGGGTAGAACGACCTTTTCACAGGGGTCGCCTAACGCCATTGGAAAACACATATATAATTACATATTGTTTTTGTGATTAATCACTATGCTTTAATTATGTTCAATTTGTAACGATGAAAATACATCCTGCATATCAGATATTTACATGACGATTCATAACAGTAGCAAAATTACAGTTATGAAGTAGCAACGAAAATAATGTTATGGTTGGGCGTCACCACAACATGAGGAACTGTATTAAAGGGTCGCGGCATTAGGAAGGTTGAGAACCACTGGTCTAGGCTCCAGGCTGCACCTCCCACCACACCTCACTAAGCCTTGACCCCAGCCCTGCAGGGGACGCCCCTGCTTCCTGGCTGGTCCTGTCTGCACTGCTACTCAGAGGTTCACGCACTTGTCTGGAGGCGAGGCGGCTCTCCCCAGCCCATCCCCACCACCCGCCTGCCCATCCTTCACCTCTTGTAGACACAGGACACAGCCTGTAGCCGTGTGGACGGCCGGGGCCAGTCCCTGGGCCTGCTGCCCCTCCAAGGACGGGCTCGCCTGCCTGACCTTGCTCCTCACTGACCACAGGGCTGGCATCTGCCTCCCCTTGAGCCCCGTGCTTATTTCCCGTTCACACGTCTGGCTGGTCACTCACCGCTCTGCTCCCTGCGCAGCCGCGTTCCCGATGCTGAGGGCCGTCTCTTGGAAACTAGAGAAGATAGACTTTTTGGTGGGGCCTGGACTGAACCAACCTCATGGCCTGGCATCGTCTGCCTGCCACGTCCTCCCAAAGCTCCCAAACTGCCTTCCGGGGAATCCTGGGCAGCGGCCGGGGCCCAGCCTCAGCCCTCACCACCCCGAGGCCAGAGGGAAAGCTCGTTGAGCGTGAGACTCAGCAAACCGGTGCTCCCAGTGTTGCCGGTGGAATGAGACCCTCTCACAGTCACAGGAAGGCATTCCAGGGGCCCACGGGGAGGGTAAGACTGGACGGTTAGTTTTATTATAGAAGCAAAATTAAAGGACAGCCTGGGGCTCAGCCTTGTCCCGCGTGAGTGAAGTCCAGCCTTGTTTCCACCAGCCCGGGAACAGCCGGCTTCCAGGAATCCTGTGCCGTCACTTCAGTCAGGTCAGTCCCTGTCCCCTCCTGCTGCTGAGTCTGTGTCCCCAGTGGCACCTCTTCAGGCGCTCTGGGCCCGCACTTGGAGTCTGTGCGGCTGCCGGTCCCCCGGGGCTGCTAGGACCCCAGGCTGCTACGGAGCGAGAACGTGTGAAAGAGCCGGGTGTGAATGTTACTGAGGGAGAAAAAGGGGCCTTACCTTGGTTGGGCTGATTTTACTCTCTCAGCTTGGGAAGAACTAGGCACTTTTTCAAACTAACCAACCAACGTCCCAGTCTTTCCCAGACTCTTGTTGGGTCCTTCTCCTAACCAGGCCATTTTCTAGGTCTTCGGGGTTCTGTGTCCCTATCCAATCCAAACCTTCTCCCAGGCTCAGGCCTTTATCTTTTCACCATCTTTTCTCTTACTGCTCCGAGCCTCAACGTGGAGGGACCGTCCCTGTGCTTCTGGGCATGAGCTCAGCAGAGGAATTTCTCCTGCTGGTTTATCTTTCCCTCCGTAATGACCCTTAGTGACCCTTCCTGGGCCTGAGGCAGTGGTCCCCGGGGACCTGTGAAGGCTGCAGTGCCCTAGTGACCAGGCTTGGTGTCTGCTGCGGGTCCTCGGTTACATTTAATAACATTGATTCCCTTTGCTCCCTTCCTTTATGAATATCTAGCTACACCAAGGCCTGTGCAACCCCCAAGTCTCCCTCTAGGACAGGGGTGGGGAACCTTTTTTCTGCCAAGGGCCATTTGAATATTTATAACATCATTCGTGGGTCATATAGGATTATCAACTTAAAAGTTATCCTGCATATTTGGACACTTAATTAACTCCTAATATCTTGGCAGAGCCTGACCAAATGGTTTTGTGTGTGTTACACGGGCCCTCGGGCCTGATGCCCCCCGCCCCTGCTGTAGGACTTGGTGGTAACATTTCCACTCACCCCTTCCCCCCGCCATGGGCCTGCGCACACTGGGCCTTGCATCTGAAAAGTTGGTCTGGAGAAGCAGGCTGTCTACTGCTCTGTGTGAGCCCAGTGCTCTGGCATGGCTGGCTCCCTGCTTGGCTGGAAAGCAGGACCAGAGCTGCTGAAGGTTTCCCACTGAGACTGACCCACACACAGACCATGGAAGGTGGCAGAGGTCAAAGGCAATGGAGGGGAAACAGTTCAACCAGCCCCTCACTTGAGAGGGACGAGCAGTGAGAGGTCAGCTTGGGAAATGCACAAGAAGTGGTGGCAGAGCCGGACCAGCTCAGGTCTCCTGATGCCCAGCCACAGGCTGTCCCCACCGCGTGCACGTGCCCGTTCACCCAACAGATCAGCCGTGTGCGAGGCGTTGGGCCTCCTGGAAACCACCTGGTTAAACACCCAGGCTCTCCGGGTGAGGGTGGACCCTCACAATCTAAACAGGCCCAGGGTGCGGGTGGTGCCCCTGTCTCACCACCTGCCCTTTCCCACCCACGCCCCTTCTTCCCTGCTAGCGGATCCAGAGTTTGCAGGTGGTGACCGGAGGTACTTTAATCCCAGGAAAGGCAGGACCTACTAGCTCCTGAGGAAAGTCATGATTGCCTTAGGTCCCCCTCGGTAATACTGAATACTTGCTGGATGCTCACTTTCCCTGCCCTGCCTGCCGTCAGCGTGCCTCTGGGGCCCAGTTCTGGAAAGAGTTAAGCTGAGGCCCCAGTGAGCGAGCAGAGGCTCTGGGGAAGGGGTGTTGCCCGGCCCCTACTGCTCCCTTTGCCTGCTGTCAGAGAGCGGGACGCTGGGCACGCCCACTGCAATCTTGCCACCAGCACGGGAAACCATGAGGGTGTGGGAGCAGGAGGAAGAGGGTCTGACCCCTTAATGATGACATTTGAGTACTGAGTGACCCCTAGAACCGTCCACTTCCAGGTGTAGTGTGTGTGTGTGTGTGTGTGTGTGTGTGTGTGTGAGAGAGAGAGAGAGAGAGAGAGTCTGTTGTTGGGTGATTTCTTACAGCTGAAAGTATTTCTAACCCAAATTTATGCAACAATTTGGCTCCAAAAGGCTGAAAAAATGTCATAGTTCCCTGCCTCATCCCATCACAATGAACAGTTTATGGAAAAGCAAATATGTAAAAGTTCCTGAAATGAATAAAAAACCCTCTTAACAATGTCCAGTCAAGCCACTGATAGCATTAAGCTGCAGGCATTACCAAGTTGTCCTTATTTTAAAACCAATTTGT